TTGTTTTTTTATAATTTCTCTAAAACTGTCAATTCTTAAAAAATATCTTCAAAACAAAAACTGTTATAACCCTAGCATCTTTCCACTTAAACACATATTCCTATTTGGGGACAATATCGAAAACTGTATACACTTTGCTAACCCTTACTGGAGAGATGTTTTGGCTGCCTGGGGAACATTGTATAGACACAAAACTAACTCCACAAACATTGGAGAGGTACTATCAGAACTTCTTTGGTGTAACCTTTAGTTTTAAAAAAAAGATTTCATTATAAGAAATTGGTTTTTAAAGGGAATTTACACTATTAAAGATCTCTGTAATGAAGATGATATATTGCCCTTTGATGGACTTAAAAGGAAATACCAAACTGAAGGCACAATACTTGACTATTACCGGGTTAAAACATACCAAAATCCTGGAAAGAAGATACTAGAAATAATCACATTAACTTGTATAATTAATATTTAAACACAATTTTGATGGACTTACTTGTAGCGCCTAAAGGCTCAAGATATTTTTATGATAAAATTAACACTACAGCAAATCTCCTAACAGTATGGGATGGGATACTATTCTTGACTTAGATATATCATGGAAGGATGTTTTTATCAGATACAGAAAATGTACAATATATGTAAAATTACTTGATTTTCAATATAAATTTATTCATCGCATCATCTATACAAAGAAAGAATTGTTTCAAATGAAAATTCTCGATGATGATCAATGCTCATTTTGTGAAACTGATACTGAATCCTTACTTCATGTATATTGGGATTGTTGGCATGTTAAAGAGTTTTGGGCCAAAGCAGAATTATTTTCTGAATGCAAAATGTTCAAAACAATTCACATTTACAAAATGCTCTGTTTTACTTGGGTAAACACTCTAACATTCTGTTAAATCACATACTGGCATGCAAATAAATATATACATGTATCAAGTATTAAGAAAAACAAGTTGTTACTTGAAAACTTTCTGAAGATTTAATCAATATATTTCGGATAGAGAAAATAATTGCACACACAAATAATACAACAAGACAGTTTGACAGAAAATGGTAAAATTTGGCAAATGAATTGTCTGGTTCATATGTCTGTTTTGAACATGAACAATTTCTACTAATGTGCTGTAAGGATTTAACTTCACACTTAGCTAATGGTGACCCCATTAAGCATGGCAAATATAACCTGCACGTTTCACCATTTGTTAACATTGTTGTACACCTGAAGCCAACTAACATTTGCTGTATAGGTATGTAACCTCCACCTAATAAGTATATTACATGTCATGTAACACAATGTAAATCTATGTAACATCGACACGCAGTCTAATGACATGGTAATAATTACATCAACAGAAATAAAATAACCATTGGCTATCGTTAGAATGTAAGATGCTGCGTTTTCATTGGATTATACATGCAATGGATATTATACACATTCATTTGAATGAACATGAATAAATTGACTTAACTTGATTGACATTTATGCTTATCTTATCTATGCTGAAGCGGAAACTTGCCCTTGACTCGCTAGGGGCGTCAATCAGCATCCTTCATTACAAATAACGGACAATGTCACAAGGGATTGGCAGGTCAAGCTGTGACACTTAATTACTTAACATTATACCTTGCATTGTGTGACGTCAGTGCGCCAACTGTGCTGGACCTTGAGGTTCAGTGAGTGAGTGAGTGAGTGAGTGAGTAACAGAGTTGAGTTTAACGCCGCTTTTAACAGTATTCCAGTCATATCACGGCGTGTCAGCTTAATGTGGGAGGAAAGCCCGAAGTGATGCAGGTCTCAGACGTTTACCACTTCAGTGGAACCCACAAGCACGGGTATGGTGCTGACAAACCTAGAAACATAATCGGGGCGAACCGGGATTCAAACCCACAGTCATAGGTTTCTGGCGTGCTCAAGGGATGCAACTCTGCACAGCGAATCGCGGCGCCTTGGACCACTGGGCCACCCGTGCCCCCCTTGAGGTTCACTTTACTTTTAACTTCTAACTTTATATTTCTTCATGTAAATAAGTTATGGAAATCTGTATGCACATATAGAGTACCTATGTAGGAAATTACATCAAAAATAATTTTTGTCACTGATGCGTCAAATTTGGAAATGTCTCCACATGTCTACCATACAACTTTTTGAAGGCTTTACTGAGGCCTTGAATGTAATGTCCTGAATTTCCTGTTTGTCCGAAAACAATTAGGGCACTGTAGAAATAGTCAGGACATCAAGAGAATTTATTAGAGGTAACACATACATCAACCTGTACGATAATAACGCATATATCATCAGCTGGTAGATTATTCATGGATGTAAATATCGTAGTGATGCACAGTGGTAATTAGGTCATGTCTGACAAGTGCTACGAACATTCAGTGATGGATAAACATTGCTATCAACAATGAAAATGTAACAATGTAACTATCTATGATGCTGAAATCTTATTATTTACTTTAATGTTTTATTTCTTATAACTAAATTCACAATATTTTCCACCAAGATAGCGTCAGTGGCTGCCATCTTGGGCGATGGTTAACTCTATAACAAGTGGAATTTACAAAACGATCAGTTGCTTTTATCAATTGGTATTGTCCTCACGATGTACAAAGTGTCCGAATAGAACGGCAATTGCGTGGATCGATGCTCATGATATCAATCACTTGATTGTCTGTTCGAGACTCGATTATTTACAGACCGCTGCATATATATGGAATATTGCTGAGTGCGACGTTAAACAACCAACCAACCAACCAACCGAATAGATCAAACATGATAAACAAACTGATTTGTGCTGATATTACAAAATTGAAGACAAGCACGGTTCAGACCAAGCAACAAATAAACCCTCATTCCAGGTATTGATGTCCTTTAATAATTCGGACAGTAACAAATTGGACTAAAATACTTATCAAATGCTAATTGAAAAAACGGACAAACATATTGTCAATATTGCCTTGAATTGTCGGCAATGTATGTCCAACCAGGGAATGAATATCATATTACAGGTACAAATTCAAGAGATATAGGAACGTATACATTGTGTGCCTATGTGTCTGAATAATGCATGTATAGTGTAGACAACAGGAAAATACTTTATCATGAATCTACTACTTTGATGTGGAAACGGACATCCAAGTTATTAACAGTCATTATGCCAAACATAAACATAATTGACAGGTCACCGAAACCTTAGAAATGACAAACAGCGGATGGAATTAGTCATTCGGTGCAATCAAGTTTAATTACCTTTAATATCCAAAGTGAAATATACTTTAAAACACGCTAGAGGAATATTGAATCGGGAAATATTCAATAACTAGTGTATGAGGTTTTTGTTTATCAAGGCAAAATGTCAACTTACTTTCTAAAAATAGCCACGATGCAAGAGTGTAGACAAGAAATAGTCCCTGACAAACATCGATGTCATCATAAAAATACTTCCAAAGATTGAACAGATATAATCACATGGTAACATGACAAACATCAATTAATTATTTAAAACCACATTAATTAAATTTACAATATTTTACACCAAGATAGCGTCAGTACCCACTAATCAACTGGATGACTCGGACCCAAGTGTTGGACAAGCTGTACCCACTCGTTCCTAATCAACTGGATGACTCGTACCCAAGTGTTGGATACCCGTAGACACTTGTTCCTAATCAACTGGATGACTCGTACCAAAGTATTGGGTACTCGTACCCACTTGTTTCTAATCAACTGAATGACTCGTACCCATGTGTTGGACAACCCGTACCCACTTGTTCCTAAACAACTGGATAACTCGTACCCAAGTATTGGATACCCGTACCCACTTGTTTCTAATCAGCTGGATGACTCGTACCCAAAAGGCGAATCCGTACCCAATGAAACTCGAATGATTTGTCACACCAAGGCAAACCTTTCAGAAGCTGGTATAAATACCAGCAGAGAGAGATATCAGCTTTCAGACTGCAGCTCTCTAGGTGACGAGGCCACATGAGGACTAATATCACAAACCACAGACATTGATTGAGTTGAGCAATTAAGGCCACTTGAAGACAAACCTGAGACATTGACTGAGCTGAGCAAGTAAGGCCACTTGAAGACAAACCACAAACATTGATTGAGTTGAGCAAGTAAGGCCACTTGAAGACAAACCACAAACATTGATTGAGTTGAGCAAGTAAGGCCACTTGAAGACAAACCACAAACATTGATTGAGTTGAGCAAGTAAGGCCACTTGAAGACAAACCTGAGAAACTGATTGACTTGAGCAAGTAAGGCCACTTGAAAACAAACCTGAGACACTGACTGAGCTGAGCAAGTAAGGCCACTTGAAGACAAACCACAGACATTGATTGAGCTGAGCAAGTGAGGCCACTTGAAGACAAACCTGAGACATTGACTGAGCTGAGCAAGTAAGGCCACTTGAAGACAAACCACAAACATTGATTGAGTTGAGCAAGTAAGGCCACTTGAAGAGAAACAGCGGACATTGGTCGAGTGAATTGATTGTTCACCAATGAATGAATTAATTTTTGAAATGTAAAATGAATGAATTTTGAAATGTAAAATGAATGAATATTTGTATAATGAATAAAATTCAGAAACATACAGGGTGAATGCTTGAACTGTAAAAAGAATGAATTTGGGAAATGTAATAGTGCAATGCGCAGATTCCTATGAAAGTGCAGGTCAGAATATATGAGAATTAAGTGTTGAATAAATGATTAGAAACACGTTTTCTTGCTCTGTACCTGTTAAAGCAATCCAGTTTCGGGCATTTTGCTTTAAAAACCTAAATGGGTACGGGTAATCCCAATTTGGATACCTATTCTTCAAATTAGGGTACGGGCAAGCCAAATAAATCATGACAGCACCAAAACAGATACGAATCTGGCGAGACTTTTTGTTGCGGGTTAGCCATTTTCGTTGGGTACGAATCTTCATGGTTACGGATGGTTTAGTATCCTTCATGATTACAAGGACACACGCGTATATTTTATATATGCCTCACATGTCCACATTCATTGTTGTCTTCATCTGTTAGTGACTGATCAAATCCCTCCAACACAAGAAGGTCATAAACATCAGAGTGTCCTCTTTCAGCTGCAATCATAACTGCTGTTTGTTTAGACCATCCCCCTCTTCTGTTGTTGTCAAATGTTTTCAAGGACAGGGAGCGTTTCACTATAGACACGTTACCTCCCTCACATGCCAACATCAGGCAGTTCCTGTTGTATTAATCAGTAAGTGACAGATCAGCTCCCTCCAACACAAGAAGATTATAAACATCAGAGTGTCCTCCTTCAGCTGCCATCATAACTGCTGTTTAGACAACAACCCTCGTCTGTTGATGTCAAATATTTTCAATAGGTGTTCCACTATAGACATGTTACCTCCCTCACATGCCAACCTCAGACAGTCCCTGTGGAATGCATCAGTTAGTGACAGATCAGCTCCCTCCAACACAAGACGTTTATAAACATCATAGTGTCCTCTTCCAACTGCCATCATAACTGCTGTTTGTTTAAAAAATCCCCCTCGTCTGTTGATGTTAAATGTTTTCAAGGACAGGAGGTGTTTCACAATAAACACGTTACCGCCCACACATGCCAACATCAGGCAGTCACTGTTGTCTTCTTCAGTAAGTGACAGATCAGCTCCCGCTAACACCAGAAGATTATAAACATCATACTGTCCTCTTTCAGCTGCCATCATAACTGCTGTTTGTTTCCGTGACCCCCCTCGTCTGTTGACGTCAAATGTTTTCAAGGACAGGAGGTGTTTCACTATAGACACGTTACCTCCATCACATGCCAACATCAGGCAGTTCCTGTTGTCAAAATCAGTTAGTGACAGATCAGCTCCCTCTAACACAAGAAGATTATAAACATGATAGTGTCCTCTTTCAGCTGCAAACATAACTGCTGTGTGATTCAACAACCATCGTCTGTTGATGTCAAATGTTTTCAAGGACAGGAGGTGTTTCGCCATAGACACGTTACCTTTCGCACATGCCAACATCAGGCAGTCCCTGTTCAATTCATCAGTTAGTGACAGATCAGCTCCCTCCAACACAAGAAGATTATAAACATCATAGAGTCCTCTTTCAGCTGCCATCATAACTGCTGTTTGGTTAGACCCACCCCCTCGTCTCTTGATGTCAAATGTTTTCAAGGACAGGAGGTGTTTCACTGTAGACACGTTACCTCCCTCACATGCCAACATCAGGCAGTCACTGTTGTATTTCTCAGATTGTGACAGGTCAGCTCCCTCTAACACAAGAAGATTATAAACATCATAGAGTCCTCTTTCAGCTGCCATCATAACTGCTGTTTGGTTAGACCCACCCCCTCGTCTCTTGATGTCAAATGTTTTTAATGACAGGAGGTGTTTCACTATAGACACGTTACCTCCATCACATGCCAACCTCAGGCAGTCCCTGTTGTCTTCATCAGTTAGTGACAGATCAGCTCCCTCCAACACAAGAAGATTATAAACATGATAGTGTCCTCTTTCAGCTGCAATCATAACTGCTGTTTGATTCAACAACTCCGCTCTTCTGTTGATGTCAAATGTTTTCAAGGACAGGAGGTGTTTCACTATAGACACGTTACCTCCCTCACATGCCAACATCAGGCAGTCCATGTTGTCTCCATCAGTTAGTGACAGATCAGCTCCCTCCAACACAAGAAGATCATAAACATCAGAGCGTCCTCCTTCAGCTGCCATCATGACTGCTGTTTGATGCCAACACCCTCCTCGCATGTCTATGGTTATGTGTTCACATGTCAGCAGATACTCTACAACCGATACATGGCCTTTGATACATGCTATGTGGCAAGCGTTTTCATTGACATAATTACTGAGAGTAAGATCTGCTTTTTGTGAAACAAGGAACTTGAGGATTTCAACCTGCTGTGACTCAGCACACACCATAACAGGGGTGTTTCCATTACTATCAGGGCCATTGATGAGGTGTTGAAACCTCTCAATGATAACATTTACGACATCTTTCCCTCCTGATTTACATGAAAGATGAAGACAGTTGTAACGATCTTTGTCTGTTGCTGAAACATCAGCTCCCTCTTGGAGGAGGAAGTTGAACACACCCAAGTGTCCTGTCTCAGCAGCAATCATCAACAGAGTCCTCTCTCCCTTTGTCCTCCTGTCTACATCGTATTTCCCATGTTGTTTGAGTACAGCAGCAATATGTTGCAGGTGCCTGAGATTGCCATGTTGTGTACAGCCTATGATACTCTCATAGAAGTCAGCGAGTACAGAATGTGAAAGGCTTCCCTCTCCACACATCAGTGACACTGTGTGTTCAAACAGTGAATGGTTAGTTGACAGTGAAACCCAATACAGAAAACATTCCCCTGAGCTCTTATCCTTCCTGTGAACAACATCTGGCAAGTCTGTCATCATCTGTGTCAAGAAGTCGGAGACTATTTGAGCACTGCTGAATACAGGGTGGCCTATTGTCCACCTGAAGCATCCTTCTCGGACACCCTCCACCAATCTGCTGATCACTAACGGGTGGAGACTTGAGGTGATGTAGATCATGTTTGTGACATCATCAGTGTGGGTTGTCTTTAGGTGATCATCCTTGTTCAGCCTCACTCTTTCATATAAAAACTGCAGGGAGCAATGTTCCAGTAACAGATCTTCATTGAGATTCCCCAAGGCACATGCTGCAGCATCATAGATGGATGGATGAGAGAAGGAGGCTACATGATTCTCCACTGTACAGTAGGTGCCAGTAAAGTTGCTGATCTCCCTGCCAATGTCTGTCCGAGTGCAACACGCGACATCCTCCTTTACAGCCTGAAACAGATCAGCGAGACTCTTCTCCTTCCCCTTAAAAGAGGCAAGGTTCAATTTCCCTCCACACAGAACAAGGAGAACGAGAGCTGCCGACCTGCTTCTGCCTTCACGGACAATGGTGTCAAGGTCACCTCTCAAGTAGGTCACAGGTTTCTGAAAGAAGTCAATTATGTTGTACATCTGGAAGGCTGGGTTTGTACAGTACAGTTTACAGATCAGAGGAAAGCCAAACCTGCTGTCTTGTAACTGAGTAATGGTTTTCATGTCCTTATTGGAGATATCGCACATTTGGCATTTCCTGAACAATGTCAGAATATGTTTCTTTTCTTCTGTGGTTAAACAAATCTTGATCATATCAACAATGGTTTCAGGCTTAAACAGATTTACTTTGAATTGATGTAATCTTGCACATCCTTCATTCCAGTTGTAGGTTCTGGATGTGAATATAAAGCGAAGCTTGTAGTTACACACTGGTGTCTTTTCATCTTCACATTGCTTCTCATCTTCCTTCTTCCTTCTTTCGTTAATTTTCTTCTGGGGTTGTTTTTCCTTGGCTTTCAGTTCCTTGTCTCTTGTAAAGCGCAGTAAAACATCAACCAAGGCATTGAACATTTTGTGAATCTTCTCTTAGCTGCTTGGAAATGCAACAGAGCCAAAGACATCGTCAAACACAAGCAGCATGTCACACTTTCGCTTAATGACGACATCACTGTCAAACTCTTCAATACTTTCAACAAACAATACTTGATACTTTTTCTTCATATACGCTTCACAGATCCTGAGAGCAGCACTAGTTTTCCCATCTCCAGGGGCGCCGCAGATGGCCACGTGGTTGTGTCTTTTCAGAAGTTCTTTTGCTTTGTCAAGAGCATGGGTTTCCACAAACATATCTCTGAGCTGGTTGATCCTAACACTGAGACACTCTGAAAACAATGACATCAAATATATTGCGTACATGAACATCATATTTCCTTTTCTATTTAAAAACTTAAATTGTAATTCCGTGTTTGCTAAATCTCAGGTTATGAGCTTAATTCTGAATAACATGTAAAGCTATTCACAATGGGTTGTTTCATTGCCTTTCCTACCTTGAGATATACAGCCTTGATGTCTGCCATCCCCCATTGCCACGTTAGAGGAGTTGGACAGGTCATAATGTGAAACTGTAGAACCTGGAGCAAAAATGAATGAAGTTAGGGTGTATTCCACTGAAATACAACATCTTCTAGTCAGATTCTTTGTTTTGTTTACATGTTGCAGGCTCTCCCCTGAAGTGAGTGAGTGAGTGAGTAAGGGATGCCAACTAAATGAGGGAAATGATGCAAGTCTTAGATGTTTACCCCTTTGGTGAAACCCAAAAATACAGTTCTGATTCTGAAAAAGCGTGGAACATAATCAGCATATAAATTTAAACAAAAGATCACAGGATTCTTCAACAACCATCGAACGGAACTCTACACAGTGAATTACGGTGCCCAGATGACCCCCCGGCCTCCTCAAAAAGAAAACTAAGTCAGATTTTGCATAGAACCTCACCAAAGTAGTTGTGGGTGGTTGTGGAAATGGACTGTGCCACCTGCTGCTGACTTCCCTCTATGGCAGCTACAGTATCTGTGGAAGGTCTAGCCACAGCGCCATCCTGTGTTGATGTATCGAGTTGTCTCCCCTGCTGCTGACTTCCCTGTGTCGCAACTACAGTATCTGTGTAAGCTCTAGCCACAGGGCCATCTTGTGGTAATGTTGAAGTGAGTTGTCTCCCCTGCTGCTGACTTCCCTCTGTGGCAGCTACAGTATCTGTGTAAGCTCTAGCCACAGCGCCATCTGGTGTTGATGTTGTAGTGAGTTGTCTCCCTTGTTGCTGTCTTCCCTCTGTGGCAGCTACAGTATCTGTGAAAGGTCTAGCCACAGCGCCATCTTGTGTTGATGTTGTAGTGAGTTGTCTCCCCTGTTGCTGACTTTCCTCTGTGGCAGCTACAGTATCTGTGTAAGCTCTAGCCACAGCGCCATCTGGTGTTGATGTTGTAGTGAGTTGTCTCCCTTGTTGCTGTCTTCCCTCTGTGGCAGCTACAGTATCTGTGAAAGGTCTAGCCACAGCGCCATCTTGTGTTGATGTTGTAGTGAGTTGTCTCCCCTGTTGCTGACTTCCCTCTGTGGCAGCTACAGTATCTGTGTAAGCTCTAGCCACAGCGCCATCTGGTGTTGATGTTGTAGTGAGTTGTCTCCCTTGTTGCTGTTTTCCCTCTGTGGCAGCTGCAGTATCTGTGAAAGGTCTAGCCACAGCGCCATCTTGTGTTGATGTTGTAGTGAGTTGTCTCCCCTGTTGCTGACTTCCCTCTGTGGCAGCTACAGTATCTGTGTAAGCTCTAGCCACAGCGCCATCTGGTGTTGATGTTGTAGTGAGTTGTCTCCCTTGTTGCTGTTTTCCCTCTGTGGCAGCTGCAGTATCTGTGAAAGGTCTAGCCACAGCGCCATCTTGTGTTGATGTTGTAGTGAGTTGTCTCCCCTGTTGCTGACTTCCCTCTGTGGCAGCTACAGTATCTGTGTAAGTTCTAGCCACAGCGCCATCTGGTGTTGATGTTGTAGTGAGTTGTCTCCCCTGTTGCTGACTTCCCTCTGTGGCAGCTCCAGTATCTGTGAATGGTCTTGCCACAGCGCCATCTTGTGGCACGTTGTCGTCAGTTTCCATCCTTCAAAAGCTGTAGTTTGTTCGATACAAGCATTTCAGATCTCAAGAACATGAAGAAGGAGACTCTGAAACAAACAAACAAACCATGCCTTAGGAGATTGATAAGAATCAGGCAAGTCCCAGTTGGGATCTGGGTTAGAATAGTGTCCCAGCATTCTATTACTCGTCATGCTGGGAGGCTAAAGGTGAAGCAGGTGGTCATACTCGGTGACTGTGATGACTAATGTCACTACACCCTAACACAGACGCCATTAACCTATGGCTTGATGGTTTCTTCTGGGTTAAGAATCACATTTAGTGTTCAGAATACTTATAATAAACAATTACTCAAGTTGTATTTTTCCAGCATGCAATGCAAATGGACCAGTAATAGTAATAGTAGTAGTAGTAGTAGTAGTACTACTACTAGTAGTAGTAGTAGTAGTAGTAGTAGTAGAAGTAGTAGTAGTAGTAGTAGCGGCACAAGTGGTAACCACGGTACTAATTTGGAAGGGGAACAAAGTATGACGGTATAACCAGGGTGGAAACAAGTCACACACCTGAAGCTCAGTGATGTGCTTCAACGGTTTTGTCATACACGATTTGTCTAACGTCTAAATGAATTGGTATGCGTGCATGTGTACAAGGTAACTTTGATCCAGAGGATCAACACGGTGCAAAGAAATTTTGTACCTGTACTGTCATAAAGCACACATGCGTAACCAAGAAGATATAACAAATTGTAATTTGCATGTGGTATGAGAATATGTATGCAATATAAAAGTAGAAGACAAAAAAAACCTCCTGTTCTGGCAATGTTAACAAATATTCAAACTACAAGCCATCACACTAATTTCAACCATTTTACTAGCATCATGTTGCACGTTACAAGGATGACATACCTTATTTTAAGCAGTGTTTTTCCAAGTTACAGAATCAAATAAACAGTAAATTCCAACTTGAGTCATGTCAGTCATGTCAGTCATGTTTACAGTCGCCATCTTGGATTTTCTGACGTCACGATTGCGTATCATGTGACCTTAGGTCATCAATAAATAGACATGTCAAGGTTAACTTTGGAGCGGCAATATTGACTTTGACAAGCATGGTATGGTTCCAGGGAGATGTCATAGCTAAATCATATTTTTCGCATTCTAAGAGATTTTTATTTTATAGCTTTTAATTAGAATGGCTAGTATTAACACTTGGTCTGCTCTCTAAGTATTTGATTGCGGATTAGTGATTATTAACCTTTGAGGACATCCGGATGGCGTCTTGTTGACGTCCGGATGACGTCTGAATATTCCGAGATTGGGACATCCATTCAGCATTCATTTCAACGGAACATTCCAAGATCGTAATTATTCAAGCATACAAGTTACAGTTACAGTTATCACAAGTCTCAAGTGATTTGAATACACAATGCCATTTAGAAAGTGGTCAAATGTAACTAATGTTATATTTGGGATAACACTTTCTTAGTAAAGTACAGATTCTAGTACTTTTTTGTTGTTGAGTCCCGTCCGGGATTCGAACCCACACCTGCCAGGGTGAGGCACCTAATCACCAGCACGCAAAGTCAGCGATCTAACCCACTCAGCCACCGAGGCTTCCACAAAATGAAAGTCCGACAACTGGTAGTCTAGATCACGTACTAGATCTAGATCATGTAACTAATGTTATCCCAAATATAACATTAGTTACATTTGACGACTTTCTAAATGGCATTGTGTATTCATAGCTTTCGGCCAGGTCAGGGGGGTACTCAAAGTACGTGATCTAGACTACCAGTTGTCGGACTTTCATTTTGTGGAAGCCTCGGTGGCTGAGTGGGTTATATCGCTGACTTTGTTATCCCAAATATAACATTAGTTACTCAAGTGATTTGTCGTCCGTATCAAATATTACAGTTTACAGTCTACATTTAGATGTTTTGACAGTCGTCGATTGCCTTCGCGATCCAGGGTTCGGGGTCCGAGCTCGTTCCGACCGGATTGTTAACATTATCATTATCATCATTGCGGGATGATGCCATCACAGTCAAGGGTTTTATCAACCGATGTTTACAGGGAGCTTTCTAGAATCGATCCTATATATTTAATTCCAAACTTTCATGCTGACTTATATCGCTATTAGACAGCTCTCGGAGGTGTGGCTTCATTGTTATTCGTTCTGGGTCACATGACTTCAGGAATGTATTGTTCACATTACATGGATCCAGTTCCGGTTGCAGACAAGTTCGTACACTTTCAAGTTTCAAATTGTTTCAATTGTTTCAACAGTTCAGATATATCAATTGGGAGAGGTGTGTGTGTGTGGGGGGGGGGGGGGGGGGGGGGGGGCTGGTGGTTACAGACAAGTACGCGTATTCGTAGTTCACAGGAACTCGATATTTGCGTGTTTAGCATAATATATTCGGTGTGACAGTGTGTTCGAATCCCGGTTTATGTTCCTAGGTCTGTCAGCACCATACCCGTACTCATGGGTTTCACCAAAGTGGAAAACGTCTGAGACCTGCATCACTTCGGGCTTTCCTCAAACATCAAGCTAATATGCCGTGATATAACTGGAATACTTTCCAAAGCAGCGTTAAACCCAACTCACTCATTCATTCATTACTGTTGTGTACGGTTCCGTTTGGTTAGCAGGGTTAGTGTTGTGATTACTTCCGGTTTTAGATTTGAAGTATGTTTAGAAGAATGTTACGATGTTGAACCCAACATGATGAATATATCATGCAACTTATTTTTTTAAAGAAAATAATTGCAATCTACAGACCATCTCTGCCAGAAGTTAACAACAATGTCAAAGCAACCGACCATGTAGAGTTGTAAAGGGTTTGAATCATGCATTACATACAGTGAATTACTTGAAACAATACTGTGCTCAACTTTGCACACAGAGCAAGCACCATACATGACATTATCAAGACAAATAATTACGAAGTTCTCATATCAAACCAGTTGTTTGACATGGGTTGTTTATTGAACAAAGTCATACTGTATAGAAGCCTGGTGTTCATCGTGTTGAACAATTAGTTGCAAAAGCATTGTGAAGAGAGATAGATTGAGTGCACGTCACCTGCATGCTTGACCTGACCGCCTCCCTGGCAGCCTGAATAACTTACCAAAACTATGAACGGAAGTGCGCAAAAGAGCCATTCGGGGAAGGGAGATAATCACTCGCCCCACAAACCCGCGGCAGCTTACAGCTTGAATAAGATACGAAGTACAGCATTGCAAGGCCAGTGCGTGATACTCGACACCAAGATATAGCTAAAGGTGATAATACTTATAGTTTATTCTTACAAAATAAAGACCGGTTAACTTTAGCTAAGCGAGATATATTTCCCCTAAATTAACAAAATTAACAAATTGCATACATTGTCTCCATTACGAAACAGAATGTGGCAGGTTAAAACATGCCCAGATCAAAGCGCGCTCCTTCAGTCAAAACTAACTAACCCATTAACCTCCCTGCGTTTAGGGCGGGGAAGAATAAGGCACGAACATTTATCCTGAAAATAACTGTCCTGTGAGATAATAATCAATTATATTGGTTACATATAAAAATCAGTGTGAACTGTAAAATTTGTAGTTTAGATTGTCAAATGGAACCCTTAACTATTGATAGAATGAAGCGTTAAATTTTCTGTTTCTAAGTATGACCCCTCAATTCTCTAGGATTTAAATCAATTTGTGTCTATATTGTCTACACAGAAAAGTGAGCGAATGAAGCTTGTTTATGCCACAATCATCGTTATTTGTATTGTTTACCTGGTAAAACGTGAAGAACGTGCAGGGGAGTGTCTGTCTTGTCCACGTAACAAGGAAGTAAATCCTACTTTCTGTATAGAGGTAGGAGGGGAGGTAACTTGTACAGCAACACGGTAAGTCTGGTTTTGGATGAGTCCCACACCTGCAGCCAAGTGAAGTGGTTCAAGCCTCATGTCAGATGGCCGGCGGTGTATGTTGGGGTATAAACTTTGTCTTGTGTAGGCTTTCGTGGGTAGGAGTCCCTATATGGCTGAAATAATGCCGATGCGACGTTAAATATTTACTCACTCATGGGATGGTATCTTCTTTGTACTGAAGATCATTGTCCTGTATGAGGATATTATTTGCACTGATTTAACTATTTTAAAGAAAGTGATAGAGCTGGGTTAAACTGAGTTATTGAAGTGATCTCACATAAACTTTCAAGACTGTTTCAGTCTCACACCATATTTAACATGTTTAGATTGGAGATAGTGTGTGTATCTTCTTTTGATAAACTATTCATAACCCAGTATAAGTTGTAACAATGTTCTAATGTCATTTATTTCCAGCTGATGAGTGAGTGAGTGAGTGAATAGTTGTAGATTGCGACAGTGAAAACGTACGACTTCTCTCCGGAGTTATTTTTCAAGTTCCAAGGGAAAGGCTCCTGCTGGTTCCTAGGGGGGATCCAAATACTGTAGGATCCGGGGGGCAAGGGTGGCCCAGTCGTCGAAGGCGCCGCGATTCGCTGTGCAGAGTTGCGTCCCTTG